TCTCCTTTGCTTGTAATCTTGAGCAATCTTTAATTGATCTTCATAGGCTTGGATGGGCCTAAGAGGATTTAATACAATAGTTTTGCCTTTAAAAGGTACCTTGTAACAATTTCTAAAACTATCACGAGTAGCCTTACTATCAAATTGCCAAGGCCTACCTAATAACAAGTGTCCAGTAAGCATAGGGGCTACATCACATAATATATCACAAGTATAAACCCTAATAGAGAAAGTAATCAACACTTGCTTAGAAACCCCAATTTCAGCACAATCATTCAATCATTACAATTTGTAGGGCTTAGGGTGTGGAATTAAAGGTAGAGATAATTTATCTACAAGTAAAGTGCTAGCTACGTTAGTGCAACTACCATAATCAATTACCATGCTACATACTTTCTCTTTGATCAACCATCTCGTATGAAAAATAGGCTCGCGTTGCTCATGTTCATTATCCTCCTTTGGTTGAATATTGAGAGCTCTTCTTGCCATCAAGACAGAGTCAACTATACTATTGCATTCAAGCTCATCATTTGATTCATGGGAGGTAGAATCATCATCAACATTATCAACATCATCTTTATCACTTTCATGCACACTATCATAGCCACCATCATCTCTCAAGGTCATGACTCTTTTATTGCTACAATTTCTCACCATGTGGCCCATACCATGACATTTGAAACACTTAATAGGAGAAGTGTTAAATGAATAAGAAGGTTTAGGGTTAGAATTTTTACCCTTACACTTGGTGTTTATTTCTTCCTTAGCCTGGGATGTATCTATGGCTTTGGAATCCTTCCATTTGGAAGTTGTCTTGGAGTCTTTCCAAGAGGACTTGGAATGTTCGTTCTTATTTCTCTGCTCCAACTTTATAGCCTTGTGTATGAGCTCTTCCTTATCTAGAAAAGTGTACAAGTCAAGCTTATCTCTTAACTCTGGCCTCAAGCCATCCATAATTCTTGACATTACTTCACATTCATTTTCTTGAATGTTTGCATGAAACTTTAAGATATTCAACTCGTGCACATACTCCTTTACTTTCATAGATCCTTGAGAAAACATTCTCAATTTTTTATTCAGCTCTGTGTAGTAGTAGCTGAGGACATAAGCCTTTCTCAAGTACCTTTTAAGCTTCTCACACATTTTAATGGGCTTTTTCCCAAGTTGGCTTCTTTTGTACTGTAAATCTTGCCACCAATAAACAGCATAGTTAGTGAAATTCAAAGAAGCAGTTTTTACCTTCCTTGACTCAGACAAATCAAGAGTCATGAAGATTTAGTCCATCTTCATTTCCCAATCAAGATATTTTTCTAGATTTTTACTACCCTTAAATGAAGGATACTTTACTTTCTGGTCTGGTAAGTCAACATCATGCTTTGAGGATTTCTTTCCCTTAAGAGAAGGGGGCTCTTCATACTCCTCATCATCGCTGGGGGTCTCACGCTTCTTTCCTTTTGAAGAGGAAGTCTCCGGCTTATCTTTATCCTCCTTATAGAACCTATGATCAAGTTCTAATCGAAACTACTGCAACTGTGTTTTGATAAGTTCTAAAATAGAGTTCATATCAATATTAGGAGATTCATCCTTGTTACTCATGTTCACAGAATCATTAGAAACCATATAAGATAAAAATGGATCCTCACACATACAAACTCATGTGTTTACTCTCAAGATAAATAAAGTCACTCGTGTTTCATTAAAAAAATTAATGGCTTTTTTTAATGATGAAAAGCACACTTGCCTTTTACTACTCACTAAGCTTGTGGATAGAATTTAATGGTGAAACCAAACACAAATCAAGAAACTAAGAAACAACCAAGTGGATATCTTCTAAATTAAGGAAACTAGAAAACAAGCACAAGATGAAAAGAGGATATATATATATATATATACTTTGTTGCAATTTTGAAACAAATAGGAAAGTAAAATTTTCAAATAAAATTAAACTTGCAAAAGAAAAAATCACACGTGACAACAAAAATAAGAAAGAAAGAAACAAAAATTAAAGAGTCAAATACTCAAAGACAAAAACAGAAAACTAAATAAAATAGGAGAGTAGCACAAATATCAAATAAAAGAGTAGAGAATTTAAAAAGTGTTACCAAAAATAAAAAATAAGAAAGTGATTAACGTAAAAGACTTACTTATCACCCAAGTTGACTTTTCTCTTTAGGCAACCTCTTGGTGACTTGGAGTTCAAGAATAACCTTTTTCTACAGTCATAACTCATGGCAATATAATTTTTATAATTTTTTTGAATTTTTGGATTTTTTTTCTCTTTTTATTCAACACATTAACACTTTTTTGTTTTTGCCTTTTTTTGCACGAATTTCTAGGTATATATTTTTTTAGAAGGCTAATAAAATGAAAACTCACATAAGATAAAAAAAAGTCACAAAGATGAAGAAGAGAAAAACCAAAAGATAGAAGTAGATGGGGTAGATAAGAGATGATCACAAAAAGAAATAACTCAAGATGAAAAAGAAGAAGAACGGACAAGAATTTGAACCAAAGCTAGCAACAAAAGCTCTAATGCCAATCTGATAGGGGATGCGGAAGCAGAATCATACTAGTTTAGGGACAGAACCCTGAAACACAATAAAAACACAAGGATAAAAAGAAAGGGACGAAATTTATGATGAAAATAAAGAAAGATATAAAATAAATAATAGAATAATGATCAAGGAGAATATCCTCTAGAGCACCTGCCTATAGGAACCTTAACCTTCGAAGACACCACAAGAGTTGATCACGTTCTTGATCACGTATATTTCTCATACAGGATGCCATCACAAAGCACTAAGGCTCACAAGAGTTATAAACTCTAAAATGAATAATTTCATTCAACTTCTGTTCCGTTTACAAGAGGGAGCATACCTAATTTATATAGGCTCATGGAGAAGAATATTTCCTAAAATTAAAACCCTAATTTCCTAATACTAAAAGGAGAAATAATATAAAATAATAATAAAATATTTAGCCACATAATTTAGGAGATGTGTTCCTAAAATTATGGGATTACAAAATTTAGAAATTAATACTATAATTAATTCTAACCTTTGACTAGACTCAAAATAGGAAATCAAATCAAAGGACCATTAAAATGGGAAATAATTTAGGAGACAATTAAGGGATCATAAAGGATTTAAAATCACGCCACCCTTGACTTCTTTACTAGGGTTTCATGCCTCCTTGCTTGCAAGAGGCTCAACTTGTAGTCTTCCTTGTATTGGGCTAAGGTTTGCATCTCTTGGGCTTGACTCTTCATAAATTTGGATCTTAAGCACATTATACATGTATAGATTCTCTCCTTTGGGCTTAACAAGAGTGCCCCAATGCTCTCCAAGCTCTTGAACTTCTTGCACAAGACTGAATAAGGCTTGCTTCATGGCTTTAGTTTGTACTCTTATCATTGGACTACTAATATGTTGTAATGGGTCTTTAGGTACATTAGATTGGAAGTATTGGGCTCCTTGTTCCTTGCCTTAGGCTCCTTCCATGTCACCATGCTCATAATTTCTATCCTCAAGCTTCATTGCTATTAATGTCATGTCATCCGTGTCATAGGGTCCATCATGGGAGCTCTAGGAACTCTGAATAGTTGCTTAAACAATGAGTTACATTTACATACCATCAGTGTTAATATTGGCATCTTCTTTTAAAAATCCTAGTTATTCTTAGCATGATATTGGGGAATCTCATTGCTATTACCCAAACAAGTATGAAATGTATGGTTGCATATTCATCCATAAGTCAAATCGGATATGTAATTATTTGGTCATTTACTAAAATCACCTTTTGGAGGAGAAGGGTGGATTGTTAGTGTAGACGATTTGGAAGACATAATTAGAGGACATGTATGGTTGGGTTCCATTTGTATACTTGGTGGAATCTGGCATATCTTAACTAAACCTTTTGCATCAGCTTGCCATGCACTTGTATGGTCTGGAGAAGCTTACTTATCTTATAGTTTAGATGCTTTATCTATTTTTGGTTTTATTGCTTATTGCTTTGTCTGGTTTAATAATACAGCTTATCGTAGTGAGTTTTACGAGCCCACTAGACCAGAAGCTTCTAAAGCTCAAGCATTTACTTTTCTAGTTAGAGACCAACATCTTTATTTAAAGGAAACTTGGGCGTTTATTACTTGGACCATATTCACGATTTATTTACATACTAGAAAAAAGAAACGATTGAAAGGTGTAAATTCTTCAATAGTGGCCTCTATGGGTTTTCTCATAATTTGGATATGTTATTTGGGATCAATCTATTAGGAATAGGACTACATAGTTATGGTTCATTTACATCTAATTGAATTAAAATGAGTTGAGTAAAGGGCCTAACAAATACAAACTTAATTAGTATATTAATATTACGATAAGCATATTAATATTATTAATTAATAAAAAATAGAAGAAATTAAGTAAAATGAATTTAATTTTAATAAAATAAAATAGATATCAATTAAGTAAAAGTCTAAGCAAACTTTGCATAAACCAAACCATCAAGAACCCTTTAAATCAAGTAATGTAGTGATTCAAGGGGTTCTCACAACTACCAAATGTATCCGGTTATAATTCAAATTCATTTTTTTTAAGTTAATCTAGAGAAGAATTTTTTTTTTCATTGTACAATGAACACTATTAAAAAAAGGATTTTTTGCTCTCTTTGATTTTTTGGTTTTAGTCATTTATTCATGAAAACTATCTATAAAAAAATTAGATAGGATAGCCTCAACCTTGTCAACTGATAATGAGAAAATAAAATCTGGATAAATACCAATACCTATTATAGGTATAAGGATAGAAATCGAAATAAATAACTCTCAGGGCCCAAAATCAAAAAAGAAAAAGTTTGGTTTATTAAAAAATTTGTATCCATAGAACATCTGGCATAACATATATAATGAATAAATAGGAGTTAATATCAATCCAATTGCCATTACAAAAGTGATTAGTATTTTTGTCATTAAAAGATATTTAATTCATAATGAATTAAATCTCGCCAAGTAGGATTTGAACCTACGACCCGTCAGTTAATAGCCAACCGCTCTACCACTAAGCTACTGATGATGAATGCGCTAACTATGGATATGATGCCAAAAAAGGATTGGGGTTGGTTGGATGTATTTACCAAAATAACCTAATCCTTTTTTTGAAAGATCCACATAAAAATATGCTACCGAGATAAGTAAAGCTAATGCAACAGTAGTATTTATATCATTTATGAGTGCAGCTAACTCCAGGATGATAAAAAGCTTAGCACTTATCATTCTTATTACTTTTTCAAAATCTTAAATTAATGATGGGTTCTATTTGCTGTCTAAATTAAATGTACACTTGAATCATATTGAAACCTTTGTCAGGCTATTGTTCTCTTGTTTTGTTCCCTAAAAGTCATGGAGTAAGACATCGATTAATAAAACATGAGTTTAATTAGTCGATTTATTAGTAATCAGGGAAAAATATTATCTAGATAGGTGAATAGATAGTAAATGGGTTGGTTTGAAAATAATGAATTGGTGATTATAGAATATTATTCTCATAAGACATAAATATAACTAAAATAACAAGAGATTTTGACTCCCTTCGTGTCTAAGTAAGGTGGCGAAGCCAACAAAAAACAAAAAAAAGGGGTAAGGTGTTTGATCCAGGAATTTTCACTTCTATTTATCTATCATAGACATGATAATGTACTCCTAGACTTCCTAATACAAGACCTAAGCCCAAAAAGATTAAAAGAAAATCATGTATCAGTTCAGGTAAATCCATTAGATGTAAAATAAAAGATAAATAAATTGAAATTTCATGACCTTATTGATATGACCAGGAAAAAATTTTATATACTAAATTCCTAATTGAATTAAATCCTAAGGAGTGTGAATTCATCTAGGTACAGTTATAGGACTAATCTAATTCTTTATATGAATAAATAGTTTGAAACAGTTTCAAAACTATAAACAAGCAAACCATAATGATTTTTTTCCTTTATTTTCAATCAGTTTTTGATCTCTTGTTCTTGTAATGGATTTCTTAGTGGATTTATCCAAATTTTTCTTATCAACGTAGCTTTTTTATTAGTATCTTTGATTAATTTGGTGTTTTCTCTTATGAATTAATGAAATAATAGTATATGAATGATATTTTTAGTTATTATCAATGAGGGTAATAGAATATATTTTCTAATAATCGATTGGGTTACTAATAAAAAGCCTCTTATTACTTGAGCATATATAATGCTATCTTAGGTTTCTGCTATTTCTCAAAGGGGCTTACATAAAATTCTGAGAAAACAAAAACAACTCCTATCTTATTTGTCAAAGAAAAATGGAATACGTTATAAAGAAAATTAATTAATCAATTGGATATTCAGGAGCCACAAACTAATTAAATTGAAGAGTCATTTTGAATTATTTGATTTATTAGATCTTGAATTTTTATGACCAAATTTTTGTTTTAAGCAATTCATGGAAGAATAAATCGAGGAAAAACCTATGAATGCCCCAGCTATAAGAAAAGACCTCATGATAGTCAATATGGGTCCTCACTACCCATCAATGCATGGTGTTCTTCAACTTATTTAGAATCCACGAATGAAAGATTCCTCATCTCTGGGTGCTTAAGTATCCACCATAAGCCTTTTCTCGTTTAAACCTCACCCTTAACTTGAAGGCTATGCCGTCCTAAGGTGCTGCTAAATGGAAGGATCTTATCAACATCCATGAATGATAAATCATTGTGCATCAAATAACATTAAAAGTATTGGTTTCAGAAGATGGAATGTCTAATGTTTTTTTACCCGGTGAAGTAATCGGATTATTAGGAGCTGAACGACTATAGATGTAAGGTATAGAAGGGGAATGAATGCTTTCATTTTTGGCATTTTTTGTCTTTAATGAAGTCAGCTTTACCTCATTCATCAACTCTATATGATAAGAATATTTCTATCAAGCATAAGTTCTATTACAAGTCATAGAGCCTATCAATCTATTCTCACATTTTTTTTATTTGCAATTCGGGAGTTAGTTCTTGAATTTTAAAAGAATACACAAATAGAATAAGAAAGAGAAAGAGTCTACTTCCAATTCAAATGAAGAAAAAAGTATTGTTTCTAAAGATATCAATTGCTAAAATTCTAAGCAATTGCCCCTTTCGATGAATGCATGAAAGAGAACTTCAAGTAATGAATATTCTAATAAATTATCGTTATCATTCTAATGAATTCAAATATAGTAATTCTAGTTAGAAAGTAGAACATTTTTTTTATTATGTCGTTAGAATGAATAATGGTAAGTCATCCCCTTTAATTGCTAGATATTCATATTTTCTATTATTCCAATCAAAATCAGTCGGAAAGATTATAAATCAGTAAAAGAAAAAGTAAGTAGACCTAACCCATTGAATCAGAACTATTTCATTTTTCAATATATTAATAGAAATATCAAAATATTTGATATTGTATATTGATTTTATTTAAATGAAATTGGTTAATTGGAGGATTTCCCACAAGAAAATGATCCCTTTCCTTTCTTAAATCTTAAAAGAGCCCCTTCCCCCCACCTTTTTTTTTTGAAAAAAACAAATGTGCTTTTTGTCTAAGTTACTTCTTTTTTTGTCCAAGTTTCTTCTCTTTTTGTCTAACTCACTTCCTTTTTTTTTCTTTGTGAGTTTCGGGAGTATCCCCATTCATAGGTCACTATCGTCATTATCATCAATAAGAAAACCCTTAGGCTTGTTATCCAGGAACCTGTTCAAAAATACTAAATTATTTATTCAATTATCAATTACAACATAAAAGATAAAAGAAATGAAATGTGAAATTCTTGAGTCGTCTACCTCCCTTCAAATGAGGAATCCCTTTAATTCTTAATTTCTTAATTCAAAAAAAAATAAAAATTCTTAATTGAATAAAAATAACAGAGTATCCTCTAAAAAGGAAAAAGAATTTCACATTCTTCCTTTTGAGAAGGGATGAGGTAATCCAGCCGCACCTTGCAGTACAGCTACCCTGTTACGACTTCATTCCAGTCACTAGCCCTGCCTTTGGCATCCCCCTCCTTGCAGTTAAGGTAACAACTTTGGGCATGGCCAGCTCTTATAGTGTGATAGGCGATATGTACAAGGCCTGAGAATGAATTCACCGCCGTATGGCTAACCGGCAATAGCTTACTAAGGCGATGAGAAGATCCCCTATATGAATAATACACATTCCAGTTGACTAAGCCTAATTCTAATTATTTTGTTCTAAAGTAAAGATATCCACAAGGCAGTTTGTCCTATTCCAATATTCACAACCAAGAAGTACTGAATTCTCTTTCCTTTCGGATAGGCCCTAAAAGTTTCATTTTGGTGTAAAATCTAGGTTATGACAATAAATCTAGTTTACTAATTGTAAAATGTTTAATTACTTGAATGTATCAACAGAATCATTTGATTATTTCTGCTAATGATTCTAACAAAAATCCACTTTGGGGGTACAACAAGAATTTGTATTCTCAAATAATATTAGAAGGGCTTGCCCTCAGTGTAGAAATTCCATTTTCCCTATACTTGCTTTAGTCTCTATTTGTGGTGACATAAATCCCTCCCTACAACTCATGAATTAAGAGGATAGCAAGTTACAAATTCTATCTTGGTAGGACATGTATTTCTATTACTATAAAATTCATAAATGAAGTAGTTAATAGTGGGGTTACCATTTTCCTTTTTGTGGTGATGAATCTTGTATGTGTTCCTAAGAAAAGGAATTTATTTCTTTTTTTGAGGATTCGTTGTAATAATGAGATAGACTTCTGCATATCTACAAAAATAGGTCAATAATATCAAAATCAGATGAATCGGCCTATATCGGCTTACTAATGCGATGTCCTAATACATTATAAAATTTTTCTTTAGCCAATGATCTAATTAGAGGAATAATTGGAATTATTGTATCAAACTTTTTCATAAGATTTTCCATTATAATTCTAGAGAATGTTTACTACCTTGAGATTCTCTATTCAATCCTTTTCCTTCTTCTTGTTATTGGATATCTCGTTCATACACATCTTCTCTTTGTTTCTCGAGCCTATAGTGAGTTATAGATAGAGGTTGAAAAGGTCAAATCTTTAATGATTCCATCATACATGATTGAGTTGCGAAAACTTCTGGATAAGTATCCTACATCTGAACTGAATTCTTTCTACTGCTCATAGGAGTTTGATAAAATATAGAATAAAGATATACAAACAAGAGCCAATCCTAACAATTAGGCAGAAAAAATTGGGTTGATAAATAATACTACTTTAGGGATACAACAAGAATTTGTATTCTCAAATAATATCAGAAGGGCTTGCCCTCAGTGTAGAAATTCCATTTTCCCTACACTTGCTTTAGTCTCTATTTGTGGTGACATAAATCCCTCCCTACAACTCATGAATTAAGAGGATAGCAAGTTACAAATTTTGTCTTAGTAGGACATGTATTTCTATTACTATAAAATTCATAAATGAAGTAGTTAATGGTGGGGTTACCATTATCCTTTTTATGGTGACGAATCTTGTATGTGTTCCTAAGAAAAGGAATTTATATCTTTTTTTGAGGATTCGTTGCAATAATGAGATAGATTTCTGCATATATGCAAAAATAGGTCAATAATATCAAAATCAGATGAATCGGCCTATATCAGCTTACTAATGGGATGTCCTAATACATTACAAAATTTTTCTTTAGCCAATGATCTAATTAGAGGAATAATTGGAATTATTATATCAAACTTTTTCATAAGATTTTCCATTATAATTCGAGAGAATGTTTACTACCTTGAGATTCTCTATTCAATCCTTTTCCTTCTTCTTGTTGTTGGATATCTCGTTCATACACATCTTCTCTTTGTTTCTCGAGCCTATAGTGAGTTATAGACAAAGGTCGAAAAGGTCAAATCTTTGATGATTCCATCATGAATGACTGAGTTGCAAAAACTTCTAGATAGGTATCCTACATCTGAACTGAATTCTTTCTACTGCTCATAGGAGTTTGATAAAATATAGAATAAAGATATACAAACAAGAGCCAATCCTAATGAAATGCAGAAA